ACGCGCCGGTTGCACTTTACTCCCCAGGAAAATTATTTAATTAATTCCTGGTACTCATTTCTGTTAGAGGCTGAGTCGACCCCAGGGCCATTGTGCGACTGGAAGGGTTAGGTCAATTGAAAAAGATCCAGTGACCTCACAAAGACTTGAACCCGCGACCTTCTGGCTTGTAGCAAGCCCCTCAACCAACTACGCTACCGCGTGCCCCCATGTTAGTATTGGTAGTAATATTATTCACCTAAATATTAAGTGGCCTCCATAGTCTAGGGGTAACGTTCCCACCTCATGACTCAAGGTACCTGGGTTCAAACCCAGCGTGGAATTTTTAAGGGAGGAAAAATTCAGGGAACAAGTCCTCCGGGAGGGACTTTAAGCTGTGTGTCCTGTGTCATAGATTTACGGCACGTAAAAACCCTCATGTCTCTAGGAGACCTCTGAGCAAAATTAGGGAAAAGTTTCCTGCCCAAGTAGTTTCCAATTCCTCCACTAGATGGGGAAGTATCGGGGACCACTGCCAGAGAGGGCCGACATCGCTGGCAGAATTGGGCTGATAGCGAGCACCAGTACTGGAAGGGCATGGTGACTAGTAGAATAATTAAAGGGGGATGCACAATAGATCAATGACTGGTTGCAGTGCATGGGGAAACCCACCCCCTCCAAAACAATAATAATAATAATAATAATAATAATAATAATAATAATAATACCTAAATATTTATATGCTTTATAATTCTGTTTGGCAGACATGAGAAGAAGAAAATGTATTGGGAACAGCTGGAGATGAGATGCCGATACCTGTATCGTCAGCAACGAAATCCACATCACTGCACTTGTTGTGATGACTGCCGATATCCTCCTCCACATCAGCTCTTTCCCTGGGAAGTCATGGATGACAGGTAAAATGGAAAAGAGTGAGAAGGAACACTTGAATCTTGTCTGCACAGTAAACATAATGAATAAAACCAGTGAAGCAAAATGAAGTTGTTCCTGTGCTTAATTAATTAAATACCACACCATGAAGATGTACCTGGAACTGGAGGGGGGTTCAACATATTCTTGGACTTTACACTGGATGGAGGTGAATGGTCAGTTTCATGTTCCAGTCACATTATCTCCAGGGAATGAGGCCTCAATACCCATCAGATGGGAGGCTAGTTGAGCTCCAGAGCTGGTCTCGATCCTGTCTCTTGCCTCCATTGAATTTGAATTTGAATTTATTTACATTACATAAATCCCTGTAGAGGTTGACACCATAAGATGTGGAACAAGTAAAGTACAAAAACATAATATCTGTACAGTAATTGAACCTTGATTCCTCAGCCATTTAAGCCATAATCTGCTGCAGTACTGACTGAGCATAATAATTTTTGGTCAGTAATAAATAAAGTTCAGTATTACAAAACTATCTTTTTATTCTTTATAATATCTCACTATTTCGTTTGTAGTACTTCGTACTTATTGATTTATTCTTTGTTTATTCAACAATGCTTTCAGCAGATTAGATTATTTAATGTCAAATGATAGGATGATTAGTAAACAGTGAATTAGAAAGATGTGTAAGAAAGATGTCATGGACTAACTTGAGGCACTGTTTTGAAAGAAGAACAATGAGAAAGTAACAGGGAACTGATACTTTAATCTTTATAAGCAGATACTGGATGCCTGGCAGAGTTGGTAACTTGTACTCTCCAAATCCTGGGGAGGATACTGGTGCTGTGAACATGGGGGCACAGAGGTTACGAGGCCAGGAACGTTCAACATCAGGATGGAGCTGGCGGAGACTGCCATGGTCACGGGGACCTAGCACTAATACTGGACCAAATTCTGACCACTCTCATAGGTACAATATATCAGAACTGCCTTAAAAGACAAAAATTATCCAAGAAGCTATGAAGTTACATTAAAACTGGAGTCCATGGACAAGTCAATTGAGACCATGGTAAATAATTTCCAGCTCTGATTAAACACACTAAAAACTTGTGAGATTTGAAGCTTTCATGGTGACTAGGAAGGCTGCTATCTTCTGGGATGTGATGCTGTGTAGTGTGATAGATGCTTACTAATGTTTTAGGGAAAGTTTTGCCTCAGTATTCTGTGCAGTCCAAAATATCAGTAAATATCCACTGGACACTATGGCATAAAATCCAAGAAAACAGTAACCTTCATATTAAAATCTTGATAAGTACTTGATGCCTACTTTATTGATGAAAGGAATAAGGAACACTGAAAGGTAGTCATGCTACATGTGTAAAGAGTGCTTTCATGTTCTTGAATACTAGCTTGCTATGTTACAGTGAAATGAGAGTAAAAATATTATTAATTAAAACAGAAACTGGGAAGTCTAATCTTACAAGAATTCAGTATTTTAAAAGTGGATATAAAAATGTTTATGCTTGTTTATAAAGAGGCCTGGGTGTGCTGTAATTAGTGCTACCTGTCATGCAAAGAGTGCTCCTAAAACATTTCTTAATTTCACTGCATTCATCTATTTATTTATTTATTTCATCTCTATAGATCATTGTTACATGATATAGGACAAGTCAGTTGCTGTACATTGGTGGATTACAATAAGAGAGTAAAGTTACAATACTTACAATTGTTTACAATAGATTACAGTAGATTACAATAGTTAGAGTTCGCATAGTGTGAGGTGGAATCCATATTAGGTCCCCTCAGCACATCGGCCTCCATATGTCCTATTGTACCTGTACCAATGATTATGCTTGTGGAGAATTTGATGGAATAAGGATTGGCAGGGGAAACTGAAGTACTCGGAGAAATCCTGCTCCAGCGCCACTTTGTCCATCACAAATTATACTTGAGTTGACCGCAGCGGTGGGAAGCCAGTGACTAACTGCTTAAGCTACGGCATGGCTTTAGAGATAATATTGGTGAATTTGGTGATAGCACTGGTATAACGTTTCACTGTAGACTCTACACTGCAACATCTCATTACATCTGTTCTCCCCTCCTGGTGCAGCTTCTTGGTATCTGCAATCTCTCAGAGTAGCCCATTCAGGTACATCTCCGACTGTGTTATCTTGGTTGCTGGAAGAAAGAAAGGAAAACTGCACAGTAGGGATTCCCAAAACCAATTATTCATGAATTATGTGATTATAATTGATTAGTGTTTGTCTCACACAAGAGAAACTCATCCACTTTATAAAAACAATGATCAAGTAGGTAAGTTTTCAGAGCGTTTTTGAACTTATATAGTACCAGTATTGCTTTAATATATCGTGGCAGATGATTTAGCAGTTGAAGTCCTACATTGTTAAAGTTGTTCTTGCATAGACTTGTATTACATGGGATGATGTGCAAGTCGTCTTTTTTCCTTGTGTTGTATGAGTGTAATCCTGAGTTGGTTGTGAAATTGTTCGAATTTGATTTTATGTATATTAGAGTTTTGTGTATGTACAAAGATGGAAGAGGTAATATATGTAATGATTTGAAAATTTGTTTACAACTAGTTGTTTCTGGGACCTGGGTCATAGCTCTTATAGCTCTCTTCTGTAATTTAAAGATCAATTTTGCATTTACCGAGTTGCCCCAGAATATCAGTCCATATGATAACAAAGATTGGAAATGAGCATAATATAATGTGCGGACAGTCGTTAGTCCAGTTACTCTTCTAACCACCCTTATGGCAAAACATACTTTACATAAGTTGTTCGCTAGCCTTTGCGTATGCATAGTCCATCTTAGATGCTTATCTAGCCAGACTCCCAGGAATTTTGAGTGATCTGTGTAGTTGATAACAGTGTCATAAATCTTTATTGGAGGGCATTCAAGTTGTAGTTTTTGAGGATGATGAAAGGCTATTGCTATTGTTTTCGCTTTATTAACAGTTAATCGATTCCTCTCAAGTTTCATTCGTTTTCCTTTGAATTTTGCTAGCGCTATTTCCTGCTATAAAATGGTAGTATCATTGGCAAAGAATGTAGGTTTCCCATGTTCTATGCTGGCCACCAGGTCATTTATATATAACATAACTTTACTTTTTCCTTCATTCATTAATAAAACAGTGTGAATGAAATATCTGCTCTTGCCTTCTGTCACCAAGTTCTTTTGAGTTTTGACTGCAGTATGTTATTTAACAGTGTTGTATCAGCTGCATATACTCCTTCCTTTCTTTTTTCTTTGCCAAAAAATTGAATGTTTATAATATTTTACTATATAAAAGTAAATTGGAATTGAGGAAAATGACCCAAAATACCTGGACTGCTTTACAATTTTCATCAAAATATCAATTTATCACATTCTTCCACACTGTCTTTACATTTATAATATTTTATATAAACAGTTCCCTAATTTTGGTAAAATCTATATTTGTAAATTTTTAATTCACAGAGAGGTGCCAGGAAGTGGTGTACAGAATTATCGGCATGCAACCAGCAGTCCTGACAGCCAATATGGATTCAGCAGCCATCCAGCACCTGTAGAAGGTACTTCCCCACCTGTTTCTGCTATTGTGGACAGCAATCCTAACTCATACAACAGAGATTCTCATGCAGGCCCAGTTATGTCTCAGCCACCAGGTGGCTTTACTGGACCAAGATCTTTGGGGCCATTTGTAACTGAAGGAAGTGTGAAGGCCATTCAGCAGCCACAGGGCTATGCCCAGCAATACTACATGTGGGGTCCACCTCCTCCATATTCCAACCCTCATTCTGGGAGCAATTCACAATGTAATAGTCCTGCTAGACGGGAACCTATTCTGAACTTACTTCAGGGACATCCAGGACCAATGGGCAATGCTGTAACTGGAAGTCCATCTCGGTTACATTACCAACATCACCATCATTTACACCATCATCACCATCATTGTCAAATGAATCAGCAAGGCTCTAATAGGGGTGTTCCAGTGGCTGCAGAGGATCAAAGTGTGATGTCAGGACAAGGTGGTCTAGTGAAGAACTTACAAAGGTACCGTGGGGGTGTGAGGAGACTGCAGGATCAGAGAAGGTTTGATGAATTATCATCTTCATCGGGCGATGGTATTATCAATGTCAGTGATGGTGATAAAAGTGTGATAGTTGAGAACTATGTGAATACAAGTGAAGCTGAAATGGGAACATCAGGTGATGTTACAACAAGTGAAAACAATACAGATTCTTCTATTAGCAAAGACAGAATTAGTAACACATTACCAGCAAGGAAGACTAAGAAGCGCATTGATATATCTTCAGTAAAATCTGTAGCAAATATTCCTTTTTCTTCAGAACATCAACTTGGAAGTCAGAAATCATCACCAAGTCATTTTAGTAGTGGAAATAATGTAAATACTAATAGTGGTAATGGTAGTGGTAATGGTGGAAATAGTGGTGCTGGAAATGGTGGTGGGGGTTTTACTAGGACAAATGTTCAAGTTTTATTTGGGCAGCAAATTTCAGACCATTATCATGGTTGTAGCCATGATGATGAGTTGTCAGCAGAAGAAATACAGTTGGTAGCAGAGAAGTATCCTCATTCACTGCCGTCAAGTTCAGCAATAGTGAGGGGAAAAGATGGGACAGTTAGTGGTGCTCCAGCTGGCAGCATGTCCCCTAGTATGAGGTACATGTCACAACTTCAAGGTGTATCGAATGCAGCCTTTCAAGGACAAGAAGCCCTCGAGCTTCAGGAACAGCAGGGGCAGATTCCATGTAGCAAAAATGAACCAACAGAATCTGAAGTTTATTTTGCAGATGTATCCTCTTGCTGTAATGTTTCAGTAAGAAATGATGGATCGCTGTATGATGAGGCTCTTGACCCACAAAAGCACAGACTGATGATGTTAAATCAGGGAGAAGAGCTAGGCATTCCAGCATCTGGTGGGCATTTGCAGAGATTACCAGAATCTTACCAGATGCATCATCATCACAGACGACTCCTTCAGGCAGAACTTACACATCCTTCAGGAAGCCGTCATCAATTCCAAAGACATCCTCTGCAGGAAGGTGTAATCATGACAGATAAAGGCCATCAGAATCACTGTAGACTGAAATCGGAAGGTAGTGCATTAACGATAGGTTGTGAGGAACAGGAGCTTACTAGTAATTGTTTTAGCTATCAGAGACAATCATCAACCCGAAACCGTTTACCATTTCCTTTACCACACCATCGTCTATCAGAGCAAGATTCTTCAATAGTTGAAGAAGATTTGCAGGAAGGTATAGGATGTAAAAATGTAGTAACTAGTAATAGGGAATTTATAGATGCTGAAAGCATGAGAAAATTGTGTGTGTCAAATAATGGAAGATCTGATATTCCAAAAGATCTTTCACAGCAAAGTTTATCTATGTCAAGCAACAGCAGTGCCACACCAACAGCAGAGAATAATGATGTAGCTTTTGTGTCACCCATGTCAGTTTCTACTTCTTCACCTGGTAGTTTCCCAACAGAAGAACTTGAGAATTGTGGAAGTTACTATGACAATCATAACAATTCATCAGAAGTTGGTAGTTCTTCAGAATCTACATCTGCAGTATGTAGCCCAATGAGTTCATCAGGAAATGATGTGTTTGGATCACCTTCTCATGGTTACCCATCCCCTCAAAAGATACCTTATGATCAGGGTTCTGCCATTCAACAGGCAAGTAGGTTGCATCATATGCAGCAGAGAAATAATATTAACTACCATGAAGCATCAACTACAGACTTTGTTCAGCTTCATGGTGTAGAGCAGCATTTTCTTGCACCAGATGCACAGTACGAGACAATACCTCAGCAGCAACCACAAAATATTGTACAAAATCCCCAGGCTTACCAGCGTCACATACATCAACAAAATTTTCCTCCAATACAGCGGGAAGACTTCAATGGGAACACACCCACAAACAGTCCAGGAAAAACTAGCCTCTCCTCTACTCGACAAGGAGGTATGATAGCTCCATCAGCAGCACTGAGCACTGGAGGAAATGTCACTTCTCCAGCAAGACGACGACTGAACCTCCCACTGCATGTAACATCTGCTGTCAGTGGGAATGCGAACGTTATTAGCACTTCAAACAATAACAGCATTGTTGAAAGCCTTTATCACACTGCAACAAGCACTGAGGGGGAGGAGTCAGAATCACATCAGCCACAGTCATCATCTAACTGTTACAGTGATGCAACAATGGATTCTGGTTGCCATAGCGGTTCTGAGTTTGCAACAAGGCGGCGAGGTGGTAGTTCTAGGACTTCAGGACGAGGAGGGACCAATAAGGAACATTCCAGGGCACTGGGAACAAGGACTGATGAAAATGAACACGAGGAGGAAGTGACAGTGGCTACCATGAGATCTGTTAATGTGTGAGCAGCATGTGACCAACCTTTATTGCTTTCATATGTCCAATCCTTGGAAAGATTGGTCAGTTTATCAGTTTTATTATTAAAATATATTGTATAAATGGATTGATCCAGTCATTATCCCTTTTAAACCCTCTTATGTTTGTGATAAGATTGTTAGATGTGCATCTTTTTATTAGAATAAGCATTCAGTTACACATAATAGGATGCCCACCAACTTGTTCCCATATTGTGTATGTAAAGTGATATTGTAAAAATGGTATATAATACTTAGTTTCCTTGTGGTGCAAAGCAGGGACTTTAACTGAACTGATATGAAATTAAAAGAAACCTGTTTTTATTTTTATTTCCTCTGTCCTTCCCACACCAACTCACTGTTTCAAAACTGAATATATGTTTCTGTCTGTCAGAGTCTGTACAAATACTGTAACTTGTTCAAGGGTAATATCTGATGATAAGAAAGAATAGGCAAAATATTTACCAGAGCAAGAGGTTATACATAACATGTTCAAAGAGTAATACTGGATATTTAATTAATTTTTTTTTTTTAATTTTGTGGGTGGGATGAGACCAAGTCCATAGGCACTGCAGCCTGCATTGGGCCTAGCCTTCTGGCTCCTGATGGTAATAGATGTATGGAGCATTGATGGAAAGACGATTGTCAAGAGAATTCAAGTGCTTGAAAAAGAGGCCATCACATGGACCACAATGGGATTGGACCCAGGCCTCTGCATCCAGGGGCCAGCATCTGACCACTTGAGATATGGCATAACCTCTTTAATTGGCACTAAAATTATCCAGTTAATGAAAGGGCAGAGCCAGGTATTTTCTTCCAACTGTGAAGTTTTAAAACTGTATGGGTATAATACCACTGAGAAAAGTTGTCAAACGTCTGGAATTAAAACTAATGATGTGCTTGACAATATTTTAAATCGATCTGTACTGATTTAAAGCTTACTTAAGATCGTTACTGCTGAGTAGGGTAAGCCACATCCTTTTTCCCATCTCTTCTGAATCAAAAGCTCAGTCTGAATAGCTATAAAAGCCATCACATCCAGAAATATTGTTTGTTACCGAAGTCCAATTTGCTTCCTTCACCAAACTAGGTTATTTTTATATTGATATAAGGAATGGATTGCTTTACTGCTGCCTACAACTTTTGTATGAAAACTTTTTGACTTTTACGTTAGAATGATTTGTATAAGTTTGAAGATAGAGTGGAATGTAAGGTGGTAGTTCAAATATTCTGATGGAGGCCAAGACTGAATAAACTAAGAATGAAATTGTTTGAGCAGTTTTACTATTGGTCACCACTATTAAATATGTTGAAAATCCAGTTAGATTGAGGCAACAGTATCTTGGGTACGGTTGTACATATTGGCAGACGCTAATTAGTACTCTGTTTTCTATTTTAAATGACCATAAAAGTTAAATCCGAGCACCCAGACCTGGCATGTTCACTGACCCCTACTCCTCAATAAAATCCTGGGTTGAATGTGAGAGATTATGAGATTAAGAATACTGCACTCAGTGTGTTACAGATATTCAAGCAAAGGAACCCTGAAGAAATGCTGGAAATATGAAACATATGTATTTTTTAAGAATATAACTTTCCAAAATATGTATACTAAAGACAATAATTTTGAAGTGGGTAGTATACTTTGAAAGAGTCACTCTGATATTTATTTTTCTGACTATTGAGCTTATAGAAATACAGAAAGCTCCATTCAGACATCACTGTATTTTTGCATAAAAGCAGCTGCTAACTAACTGAAGTGGCAAGGCCATGCCATAGCTCAAGCGGTTAGTTGCTGGCTTCCCAAAGTCATGGCCCGGGTCTGATCAAGTGGGATTTGTGGTGGACAAAGTGGCACTGGGGCAGGTTTTCTCCGAGTACTTTGGTTTCCCCTGCCAATCTTCATTCCACAAAATTCTCCATCATCATAATCACCTGGGGAAGGTACAATATGCCAATTAGTGGTTGCCGTGTCGAGTGGACCCAGCTGGACTCCAGCCCCCACTAAGCGAATTAAAAAAAAAAGTGGCAACTTTATGTGATTTTTATTTTCCCACTGGCACAAATTCCGAATTTTTAGCATTTAATAAATTTAACATCTAACTGCATCTTCTCTTATGAATGGTTTCCACTGTCTGAAGTGTCACATAATATAGGAATAAATATATTATTCTGTTGTTATTACAGTAAAACCTGTCTTAAACGGAATCTCAAGGGACCAGAAAAAATTTCCGCTGAAGCCAGGTTTCTGTTTAATCAAGGTATACTATAATAACTAAACCAGGACATAAACGTATTTGAGACAAAACAAAACAACATGCTCGTTAATTTATTCACACAGGAAAAAATTGCAAAGATTGCATTAATAATTGATGATAGTGGAGCTTAACATTCTGAATGATGCCCTGATCCATTGGTTGAGAAACACTAGTGGTGTTTGGAGGGAACCAAGCAAGTCGCACACTGGAAAGTTCGATATGCGGGTGGCATGTTGCGTTATCCAAGAACAACAAAACATGCCGGTTTTGCATTTTCATTCTACCATTGAAGGCCGTTAACCATTCCTCCATTATCTGTGACGTCATCCATGCCTTTTTGTTGGATCTCCAGTCAACGGGATGTTTCTGTATGTCCATGATTCGGAAGCATCGTGGCTTTGCTGCCTTGCCAATCACTAAGGTTTTCTCCATTTCACCTGACATAAAACCACACAGTAAATCTTTCTTTGCACAGTTTTCCTCCCAAACATTTTTCACCTTTCAGACATAGCGATTTATTCGGAAGCACTCGGAAGAACAGTCCAGTCTCATCACTGTTCTCTATGTTTTCAGGTTCATATCCCTTGATTATGGATGGCAATTTTGCTTCCCATTCCTCAATGGTCTCACTATTTACATCACTTGATTCACCAGAAAGTTCATTAAAAACTACCCGATGTCTTTTGCGAAAACTCTCCAACCAACCGTTAGATGCTTTGAATTCAGTCTTCCCCAGTTTTTCAGCGACATTTTAGCATATTCCTGTACCATAGGACCCGACAACTGGTGATTTTTCGCCCTCACACTGACAAACCACTCCCACACTATTTCATTAACATCTTCGTTTGCAGTTTTCTTGAGTTCTCTTTTTATTTTTCCATTAGCACAAGTTTCCCACCGCTTCAAAATCTCCGTTTTCTTCTTTAGAATCTCACACTGTACACTTGAGTTTTACCGACGTTAAACATCTTCATGATCTGCTTAACAGACAATTTATCTCATTCACTCGCGTGAATCACATTTAATCTTGTGTTAAGATCAAGCACAACTCTTGTCTTTGTAGCCATGATGACAACTGCTAGACTAAAGTAAAACTGTAGGCCTAGAGCCCTTACTGAATACAATTTCCAGAAGGGGAAAACAATTCTGCTGAATCTCAGTGCAGGTAGTGCAGTACCATTAGAAGCTTATTTTAAAGAGTTAGGGGAAACAAAATTCTGTAGAATGTATAGGATGCCTACAATTATTCTAAACGATGCATTCCGGAAGACTGGAAATTTTCTGTATAAAGCTTATTTTGGTTTCCGTTGTCCGTGTTAGACAGTTTCCGTTTAATCCAGGTTATTTAACATCTTTTTCAGCCCTAAAGTCAAGGGACCTGAAAATATTTCCGTTTAATAAAGGGTCCATTTAAGGCAGGTTTTACTGTACCATAAAATGTTCATGAGAATATAGCCCAAAATAAATTGTTTTACACCAAAATGGCATTCGATTTCAGATTACTTAAATATTTAGACATTTTCAAAGAACTGATGCAGAATATTTCATATTTATTACAGCTGAATAAAACTGTGACATAGAACATACTCATCTGAAAGCTGTGTGCAACATACAGGCTTACTTTGGTAAATGGAAGATAACATTTTAGCTCACATTTAATTTTATTTTTAACACTGTCAGTGTGAATAAAATCTCTTTTTTGTTACAACTAAGTGGGATATGCAGGAATGAATCCGGGTTGCATTTGGGACATCCTCGATTAAAACTCTGAGCCAAGACATCACTCCTGAGATTTTTATGAAGAGTACTATTTTCAGGGATGTAACGTCATGTAGTCACATCGCAGAAGATAAGTCACTGCTGTGAGAACCACGTTTCTTTTGATTCTCGTTATATCTCCATGGAAATGCTGGGTTAATTTCTTAAAACAGACCACTACTCCTTATTCCCAAATCTTTACATATTCCCTTGCAGTAATCTTTCTACTAAACATCAAGCGGGTAGCACTCTTGTAATATATCAGGGAGTTTCTAGGTTCAAATTTCAGCAGAGAGACCATCTATTCTAATGGAAATATTTTGTGGTTTTCCTCAGTCACTTCCCTCAGATGTCTCTAAAATTGGGCCACCTGTGCTTTCACGTTTGAAATTCATTATTTACTAATCATCCTATTCAATGCTATATAGTCTGAGCAATTGTAAGTTTTGTTAAATATGCAAAAAAAAAAAAAAGTTCTAATATTGGGTATGCAGCTGAGAGTGTGAGATGAAAGAGAAACAAGAACGAAACTTTGCAAAAGCATGTACATATATTGCCTTCTAGTTTATGGCACCATGTAGTACGGTAGAAGGGGAGCAAGGTTTCAGAGGAATGTATGGCTTCCATCTACAGGTTAGAAAGTTACTGGGTTATGATACTATATAGTTTAGGTGGATGGTTGAAGAACACTTGTCTGAAGATGGGGATAGAATTTTTCTTTGAAGTCAGTTCTGACCAATGGCATAACCATAAGACCAATATGAGCTATCATTGCTGTGGAAATTTAAGATCTTAAGATCCTGAGAAGCAATTTGACTGAATAAACTAATAGGATATTTGAAATAAATTTAATATTGTGATAACTAAACTTGTTCTGTTAGACAGTTATTTGGGTTTTGGTTTCACTGTAGATACAGATGTAACAATATGTGATAAGCTAATTCCTTGGTGCTGCAGCTTCAATTGGGCTGACTGTACCAGAAATGTGTCATCAGATAGCAAAAATAAACATTAATTTCCTTCATCAGTTTCAGCATGTCACGTGATTTTGGTGACTCTAGATGGGGTTTGGATTGGTAATCTGATTTGTTTGAACTCTTACACCTCGTAACTGCAAGTAAGGATTATGCTGTCACTGTTCTACACACAACACAAATCATTATAGGACGCTATAGGACACATTAGGTCTTCCCAGTCTGTTACAGTCTTCACTAGTCGTTGCCTGGTAGCGACTCTCAGCAGTGGACGTTCCCCTTCCTTTTGGTTCCCTAAAGCTTGTATCACATTATTGCTCAAGCCACGCTCACGCTCATGTCACGCTCCAAGGTAGTCACACCACGACGCTCAGGAGTTTAGATGGAAGTGAACGAAATGAATTTTTCTGACGAAGAACTTCTATTGATTGCGGTATTGTTAGATGATGATGAAGCGAAACCTACAGGAAGAAGAAAATGCGTGCACCCTTCTTTGCTTTGTAGAGCAACGGAGGGGGAATTTCATACACTATTTCCGCAGTTACTCGATGACGAAACTAAATTCTTTCAGTACTTCAGGATGTCCAGGGAACAGTTTGAAATACTGTTTTCGAAAATTGGGAGTGATTTGAAGAAACAGGACACCACATTTCGCGCAGCTATTTCACCAAGAGAGAAATTAGCAGTTTGTTTAAGGTAAGGAAAAATTATAGTTTCTTCTTTTTAAAATGTGTTTAATAATAAAAAAGAAACACATACAATATCTACGCACTAGAAGAGTTCATAGCATAAATTGTCAATGAATAATCCGTCGAGTGTAACAATGTTTTTAGGTCACTTATTTATTTCACTCGCCTTACATGTTTCGGTTTAAAATAAACCATCATCAGAGGCACGTTTACAAACACATGACACCACTGGCGTTGTATAATGTACACTGTATGTAAGCTGCGTGAACACTGCTACAGATGTCAGAGTGTAAAAGCACAACACTTTCTAGTAGCGTTGAATGCATGTACAATTCTTGCATTCCATCCGAAGAATGCCCTCAAATTGAGCCGTCAATGTTAAAATATTTAAAAGTTTAAAACATTTGAAATAAACTGTTCGGTTCCTTCTTGTTGATTCGTCCCGGTGCAAAGCAACAACCTCAAGTTGACGATTCCCATCACCGGGACGAATCAACAAGAAGGAACCGAACATTTTATTTCAAATGTTTTAAACTTTTAAATATTTTAACATTGACGGCTCAATTTGAGGGCATTCTTCAGATGGAATGCAAGAACTGTACATGCATTCAACGCTACTAGAAAGTGTTGTGCTTTTACACTCTGACATCTGTAGCAGTGTTCACGCAGCTTACATACAGTGTACATTATACAACGCCAGTGGTGTCATGTGTTTGTAAACGTGCCTCTGATGATGGTTTATTTTAAACCGAAACATGTAAGGCGAGTGAAATAAATAAGTGACCTAAAAACATTGTTACACTCGACGGATTATTCATTGACAATTTGTGATTGATAGTGTAACGGACCAAATATGAAACAATTCAAAATAGTTCATAGCATTTTACTCAATATGATTCTGGAGATAAATTAGAAAAAAAATTAGAGCAAGCAGAATTGGAGTCAGTAGAGGATGCCGGAGAAATGGGTGATGGTGGTTGGGAGCTCTGTGACATTTTCGGATTTCCGACATATGTGAATTCTGAACCAGCTGATGGACCTCCTAAGTTGGTGCTATGAAAATGACTTTGAGGGGAAGGAGGATGGGGCATTAAATATTTGGCTTCCATCTGAGATACGAGGTTGTAAATTTGATTCCTTATTAGGTGTTGGTCGACAGGAGAAAAAGTTTTAACCGTTTTGACCATAGATTCAAAAAACAGTTCCAAGGAGTCCTTTTCTTTATCTTTATCTGTAGTTTGCTGTCTGTTTTCGAGTAAATATTTCATCACAGTAGCAGATGCTGTTTCCTGAGGTCTGCTTGAATGGTTGCATTTCTTTTTAGGTGTGGAAATCGAAACCGACTTGGACAGTTCACGTTTTCTGTGGGAATCTGGAGGTGGAGATATCTGTTCCACTGATACTTCATATTCTGTATCATCTTGTTCATTTTCTTCGAGTTCATCCCCTCCTTTTTGCTCTTCTATGTCCAATGATGAAATTCTTTCTTTGTCTCTCATGTATGAAATCAAAAAAGACATGCTATCCTCAAATTTCCATTTACGAATATTAGCAGCTGCTTGGCCACTTACGGTGTTGTATTTCTGAACAACTTTTCGGTGTTGACTTCTTAAACTCATCCACCTGTGCTTACATTCTCCGCCTGTGAAAGGGAAGATAATTACAAAAGTGACATACGAGTATATAACCAAAAGTTAGACACAAAACACACTCACCCATACACACGTGTGAATGCCAACTAATTGGCAGTTGACCAAAATGGTCCTTGACACATCGTAAACGTTGCTTTTTATATTGTTAAAATATTAAATATAGGCTTATTTATAAACTAAAAACAATTAATTGTAAAGTAGTTGTTGAATTTAAATTTTACCAAATTTATGAATATAATAAATTTACAATATTGATTATCAGTACCTATATAATTTGTGAAGTTATAAATATAAAAATATTAATTCTCTAATATTTATATTTCAATAACTAAATAATATTAATGTATTAAAATATTGTCCTGTAATGTAAATAAATATAATATATATATATTCTACAATGGGCTGTTGTTTTGTTCAGGTTCCTAGCCACTGGGGACTCATTTCGAACCATAGCATTCAGTTTTCGACTAGGGTATTGTACGGTTCAGAATGCAGTTCACAGAGTTTGCAAAGCTATTGTAAAAAATATGTTGCATGAAGTAATGCCTACTCCAACAAAAAATGAGTGGGAGAGAATTGAAAGAGAATTTTGGGATCAGTGGCAGTTTCCCAGTTGTTTAGGATCTTTAGATGGGAAACATGTTGTGATAGAGGCTCCTCAAAATTCTGGTTCCCTCTACTTCAATTACAAGAAAACATTTTCAATAGTTTTATTGGCACTTGTTGATGCTAATTACAAATTTATAGCAGTAGACATTGGGTCTTATGGACGGAGTAGTGATGGTGGAATATTTTCCACTTCAAAGCTTGGAAGGCGTTTAGAAATGGGAACTCTAGACATTCCAGAAGATGCACTGCTGCCGGGAACACAACAACTGGCTCCATACGTAATTGTTGGTGATCCGGCCTTTCCATTAAAAAAATACTTGATGAGGCCCTTCCCTGGTCTACAAGTCGAAAACCGTATCGAGAGACGCATTTTCAACTACAGGTTGTCTCGCACCCGTAGGGTTGTTGAAAATGCCTTTGGAATTCTGACACAAAAGTTTAGAATTTACAACAGAAGACTGAAATTAGCGCCTAAATATGCTGAAAAGGTGGTTTTAGCCACGTGCATTTTGCACAATTTCATTCGCGCAGGAACGGCTGCAACGCCTTTGAATGATGATCAGATAATGGCAGGTAATTTGACGGACTTATCGAGACAAGGTGGAAATTGTTCAACAGTAGCTTTTGAAATAAGAGAGATATTCACAAGATTCTTTAATTCAGAACAAGGTTTCGTCCCTTGGCAACACAATATGATTTAAACAAGTGTATTTCTAACTGTATTTGTTTGATGCTAATAAAGTGATTATTGAAAGTTACCAGATCTTTTAACGCTGTTCCGATCTCTTCCAACACTTTCTTCTTAAGTACAATTTGTGTGTTAAATCGTAAAGCTCAGGCTTGGCACGAATAAGTTCAATCAATTCTTCCTCCATGCTTTGACTGGTGAAATGAAAGAAAAATGAGAAGCAGAACCTTTGAGCTCAGGACTCGCGCGTAGTCTTGGTCACACTCGTCACACTAGACTCACTAGACGCTCAGCTCGCGGTACACTCAGAGTCGAACGCTCAAAATATTCTCGGCAATAATTGCGGCGCTCACTGTGAGTGCGCGCGAGCGTGACGTGCACCTCAGTATGATCGGTATGATCAATCCTATAACATTTACATTGTTTGGATTTTAACCGTTGCGTGAGCGGAGCGTGAGCATCCCTATAATGTGATACAACCGGTGGAATGTGATTTAATTGGCCTATTTTTATTTTTTAAAAATAAGGAAAGGAGGCTAATGAGGAATTTTTTATATTTAAAATTGCGTCGGCTCCGGCATAATACGAAATTTACATAATATTTTAAATTAAGGTTTTTACAAATTATACTAAAACGATGCGAGGAGAAGATCGACATGAAATGCGATTTCAGGTGTTTTGATGGTCTGTCGTATGCGTCGTATGCGGTCGTATGGTTGAATCTGGTAGTTTATGTGTAGGGACCTAGATGACGCTAGATGACAGCATCGATCTCTAGATCTCTAGCACCTGTAGCATTTGTGCTGTCCCCTAGCATCGAAATCGCTCTACGTTGTTTTGCAGCTTCATCCTCAAACATTTCAAATATAGATAACGCAGATAATATACACTCCCGATAACAGATGATGGAAGAAATCGGTGGTTGTTTGCGAACGTTGCGAGTTTGCGTGTTGTGATGTTGCATACGGATGAAGTTCACGAAGTGGAAGCATAAAAGTGAGGTTATTTAAGTTCGGGCGTGAATTGACATTGACATCCATAAATAAAGGGAGTCTGAGTATATACAAATCTGTTGCCTTAGAATCCATTCATCAAATCGGGAAGATGTCACGTTCACTAATAAAATACGGCCAGTTGGCGGAAAAGAGAACAGCGTTCTTTTTGTGTGACATCCAGGAGAAATTCCGTCCTGCCTTATCACATTTTGAACAAATACTTGAAGCAGCAAAGAAGTTGGTATGATAATATGAACAGAAGCTGAAGTTAAGGCGTTGTAGTTCTTACAGTTACTGATTCTTGGCTCTCACGGTGGTTGGATAGTTATACCGTGAGATTGAGGGCGATGTTGTCGACGTTTCGGATGTGCGTCCAAGGTGGAAGCAATATACGAATATACTTCCGAAATGCCGGCAACATCGCCTACAGTCACGGTGTAACAACCTAGGAAGAGAACATCATTATATGCCGTGCTTACAGAGGAAGCTGCATGACGAAAAAAGCAGAATTCTCTGCCTAAGATATGAGGGTAAAAAGATGCTATTAGTTGTGTGTATTGTTTGAATGCCTACAGCTCTGCATGAACGAATAAATGTTTGTCATCCAAGAAACGCTTTTTATTGTCTCTTATTTATCTCGTATTTAATATGTCATTACTATTGGCAGTTACTGATTTTAACCCATATTTAGAGAAAAAATGTGCCATAACACATGGCATGACATGGAGAGGTGTAAAAGAAGGAGGGGTTAGCATGCGAAGAGGAGGTCCAGATATAGGGAAGTAGGGCAGGAGCCAGGGCTGCAATCAAGCTAATGGGAAACGGTCTTTGGGAGATGAAAAAAGGCAAGAATTATAAAGAATTTGCACCCTATTTTTTATCTTTTAAGGTTAAAAGCCTTCTGTTGGCTAGCTTGTAGTCTAGTTCCTATTTCCCCTTCCCCATATCAGGACATCCATTACTTGCACTCTTACTGCTCAAATCTGATGGTGGAGACAGCACGTTCATTCAGAATGTTGGTATCTGCCTTACAGACTGTATCATATCACATATTAGGAGACTTTAATCTCTATTGTATACATGTGCAGTTCAACATATATGTGACCTTTTTTAATTACTTGTTTTTGTTTTACAGGTTCAGGCATCCAGAATTTTAAATGTTCCTCTTGTAGTGACAGAACAGAATCCAAAAGGCCTGGGTAAAACAGTGGCAGAACTGGATATATCTCATGCACGTGGAGTTTACCCCAAAACGAAGTTCAGTATGATAGTGCCTGAAGTGGCAACAGAACTTGGGACGCTATGTGATGGGAAGCTTGAGTGTGTCGTGCTCTTCGGCATAGAGGTGTGTGCATGGAGTATATAACCTTACAGTGTCTCCAAGTCATTAGAGGCATTATGAATATGTTTTGTTCCAGGCGCATGTGTGTGTTGAGCAGACAGCAGCGGAGTTATGTTATCGAGGCCTTCAGGTGCACGTAGTTGCTGATGCTTGCACTTCACGTTCACAGGAAGACCGCCTGTTGGCATTTGAGGTGAGATTATTATGCGCTGGTCTTGATGTGGGACATTGTGGTTTTTGCCTACACATGGAAGAATTGGCAAAAATGAATCTATTCAGAGTTGATGATAGAATACAGTGCTGTATCAACAGAGCGATAATAGAGCTTTGTTCCTGGATGTTTTCAGTCGGAGGATTTCAAAGTTTGATCGTCGTGTCGTGTGGAATATTCTAGCATATTTCAGCTCATCAACGACTCGGTACAGATTGCTGTACCGACAATTCTGAGAGTGATGTTGAAGGTAGCGAATCAGAAAGTTATTTCGAAGGAGACCCATCATCTTCGTCGGCAACCTGGGGACCACCACACCAGCGTGGCACAAGGAGTGTGAATAACTATTCAGGTGGAGCTGTGGGCAAACTGTGGCAAACAGTTATAGCATCTGTTGTCGAACCTGGAAATGGACAAATAAGCTATTTTTCCATCTCCTTGATCTGAACAGTTACATCCTGTTGTCACACAGAGAATTTCGTCTCGCTCTTGTGCGGAACATGCTGGAAGGGGTCCACCTCGCCATCAACGGCCAGGGGTCGAACCCCTGCCGTTTTATGGGAGATATCTCGATTATAGAAGGCCAAACCACATCACTGGCCGACTTCCTCTACTTCGCAATTGAGGTGTCGTGTGTGCTTTTCGCGTGGGAAACGAAAGATCGAACGGACAAAGTGCGTGAAGTGCGAAATCGGACTCTGCATTTCCGGATTTTTTTGAGAATTCCACACGAAGGCAACATTCCGGCAGATGACGCAGGTGGGAAGACAGACCCTCCATGCAGATGGTGGCCAAAAATTATGTAAGTAGAACATCATTTTCTACGTTAAAATTGGATTTTATATAACGTTCGCACGCACGGACTGTGCGACTCCATATGGGGTCATTCGTACCACTGACTTAATTTTTGCGACCCCATATGGGGTCTTTAGTAGTTTAATAGGGTAATAGGGGACAAATAAGTGGGTTGTCGTGTTCTCTAAGTTTGTTGACGTAGGCAGAGCTGTGTTGGCGGATAACTTCCGTGATGTGCTGCATTTTGAGGTCAGTATGTAGAATGTGGTTTGAGACGTACTAGGGTGCAGCAGTTATGGTTCTTAGGATTTTTGATTGTGAGCATTGGATGATGTCGACTGTAGATTTGAATGCGGTTCCCCATAGTTGGATGCCATATGTCCATATGGGTTAGATAACTGTTTTATAGATGAGTAGTTTGTTTGAAAGGGATAGGTTGGATTTTCTGCCAAGCAGCCAGTTGAGCTCTGCAGCTTTGAGGTCCATTTGCTTGCATTTCTTGAGAATATGTGGACGCCAGGTAAGTTCGCTATCTAGGGTGATCCTGAGATATGTGACCTGCTTTGCTTGTTTGAAGTTTTCCCGGTTGAAGTGGACCAGGGGGCAAGTACCTTTGTGGAGTGTGAAGGTCGTGTGTGGATTTGACAGGTGATTTTGATTTACCATTTGTCTGTCCACTTCTCTATGAGATGTAGGTGTTCTTATAGGTTGGACGAGGCTTGGAGTGGAACTTCATGGGCTGCAAAGATGGCTGTATCATCGGCGAATGTGCCAATTGTCATTGTTGGTGTTGTGGGCAGATCGTAGGTGTATAAATTGTAGAGGAGAGGTCCAAGTATGCTACCTTTGGGGACTCCAGCTTGNTTATTATTATTATTATTATTATTATTATTATTATTATTATTATTATTGGAGGGTGGGTTTCCCCATGTACCANACTCCAGCTTGGATCGGGAGGGGGGTAGATGTTTCCTCATGCATTTAGACAACAAAGGAGTGGTTGCTGATGTAGGATTTGAGGAGATTGTAATAAGTCTGAGGAAGAAGTTGTTTTGTTTTATAGAGGAGACCAGGATGCCATACTTATCAAACGCCTGGGCTACNTCTGTATGCCCATTCGCGTAAACATCGTCACACAGATTATTATTATTATTATTGTTGTTGTTGTTGTTATTATTATTATTATTATTATTATTATTATTATTATTATTATTATTATTATTGGAGGGTGGGTTTCCCCATGTACCACGACCAGTGGTCTATTGTACATCCCCCTGTGATATTCTACCAGTCTCTATACCCTACTGATATTGGTGCATGCCATCAGTCCCGACTCAGCCAGCGAGTTCGGCCTCTACTGGCTCAGCGGTATCTAGATGCTTCCCCTATCTACGTGAAGCATTAGAGACTATTTTTGGGCGGGAAATGTCCTTAATAATTTGGCTCAGAGGCCTCCTTGAGGCATGAGGTTCTTTTACGTGCCGTAAAGCTACGACACGGGAAACGCGTTAGTGATAGTATCAGTGATTCGATGAGCTTGTTGTATAGTCGAGTGGTGATCTGGGAGCCATGATTGGAGGTTCGATTCCTGAGCAATTCTGGGTAAGAGCATTTTTTCTAGTACTTTTGCAGTCGTTGGTAGAGGGCTGATGGGTCGATAAGAGGTGACATCCATTGGTGGTTTTCCTGGTTTAAGTATCATGATGTATGCAGTTTTTAGTGGGTGAGGCCAGTAGTCCAGTCTGAGTATGGCATTGTAGATGTGTAGGAGCTTCATTACGCCTTTCCTGGGCAGTTGTTGAAGGAGCTGTGCCGTGATGTGGTCATGTCCGGGCGCCTTGTTGGGTTTGAGTCTTTTGATTGCTTGGAGCATCTCTTTGTATGTAAAAAATTTTGGATGGGAGGACTGTTGTATGGGTTCCTTGAGGAATGACATGACGTCTAGCGCTGGAGCGTTGTCATGAGGCATGAAGACTGCTTGTAAATACAAACAACATGAGTGAAAAAATATATTGTGATGCAAGAGGCAAAATTTCCAACTTTCTAAACAAGTTCCTGCACGAAGCCCTGCTCCTACAGCCCATCATAATTCTTATTATTGTTTTTTGCATTCTAAATATTTTAAAACTGTGGTGCGAATTTCCCCAGAACATTAAGCCATAGCTTATGATCAAATTAAAATATGAATGATAAATAATTTTCAGAACATTGAAAGATATATATGACTTAATACTCCTCATAATATAACATGCCGAACTCAGTTTTGGGATAATACATTCAATATGACCTCTCCAGTTCAATGAATCATTTATATTTATGCCAAGGGTCTTAATATTAGACACAGTTGTTATTGGTTGATTGTTATAAATGATATTTACATCAACTGTGGTTTTTTTTTTTAGTTTTAAAATGAATACAATGAGTTTTGTTAACAATTATTGAAGGTAAATTTGTTTTGAACCATTTATTTACGCAAGTGAAGGTGTTGGACATCTTATTTCGAAAGTCCCCTAAGTCAGAATCTTTGACTAATATGCTTCTCTCATCAGCAAACAAAATAGGTATAGCATTACCGTCTACAATTTTGGGCAAATCATTGGACATATTGGATATTGGACATAACTAAATATTATTTGAAAGACATGAAGGAAAGAGATCACTTGGGAGATCAGGCATTGTTAGGAGGATAATATTAAAATGGAACTTAAAGTAGCAAATTTGTGAGATTATTTTCTGGTTTGAGTGGCAGACACTTGTAAACATGGTGATGATTGAAGAGTATGATGCTCTGGGATGTAATGTTATGTAGTCTGGTAGGTGTTTGCTGACATTTTGAATTACACAGCATCACGTCCCAAAAGATAGTACTGTTCATAGTTTCCGCTGTGAGAACCACAGATTTGGCATGGTAACAAAACCTTAAGGGGTTTGTTGAAGCTGAGGAATTTCTTGACTAGCTGAGCAGCCATTAGCTTTTTGAGAAGGGCTGTGTTCCATGAAGGTATTCAACTTGCTCAACTAACTGTACTTCAGTATAAGTCTCGCATGATTTTTTAAAAATACAGTTACTAGTTCCTTGAAGTATAATGGTACTGGAGACAGTACACAGATGTTCTTTTTATTTTTTTTACAGAGACTGCGACAGATTGGCTGTTTCGTCACAACAAGTGAAGCAGTCATCTTCCAACTTCTAGGAGACAAGGAACATCCAAACTTTGCTGATATTCGTCCCCTCATCAAAACAGTTTCACCTTATACTGGACTTGCTGCATATACATCTAAAATATAATTACCATATTTTAAATTTTTATAATATCATAAACAAAGTTAAGGCTGTGTCCTAGTGGGTCAATTTTACATTCTTAAGTTTCTTTCACATTACAGTGGCAACAGTATCTGATATAGTACATTAAAGTATAGTGTTTACTTTGTGGTACTTATATCCATGTGTTCTGCTGTAAGTTCAGCTGTTGACACCATTTGACAACTTCATTTAACATGTTGGATTTGAGGTTGTTGTAGGATGTAAGATGTGAGGTTTTCATGGCGGTGACTATGAAGAAAGCAGTCTTCTGGGATTTGGCACCGTGTATATGTGGTGTTAACCGATGTTTCGGAGGAACGTATCGCCTCCATCTTCAGGGTAGAAGGAAAAATATAAGAAATCCACAGGCGAAGAGACCGTGAGAACCGGTAAAAGCATTGCATCCCAGAAGGAAGCTTTTAGCATTTAACATGTTCTTATTGCAGGCTGTATGTTTCATACATGGCCTTTGTTCCTGTGTGTGTCTGTTGACTGCATCACTTTATGTGTGGTCTTTTAGATCAGTTCTAAAAAAGTACATCAGGAGAATATTGTACTTATATGACAGATATAGGACTTTATAATATTATCCTAGCATTTAAAGGCTGGTAGCATGCCATAATGATATATGAGAGAGTGGAAGAAAGCTCCACCATTCTTGACCTTGATACTAGATGGAGGTTAGTAGTTATCTTTATACCCTTGCTGCTGTACCCCCAGGGAAAGAGTCCGTAGTACTCGCTGTGTAGGAGGCTGGGTGGCGCCAGGGCTAGTCTAGATGCCATGGAGAAGAGAAAAATGTCTTCGCCATGTTGCGAATCTGTTAATTTATTATGTTGTAAAACTTTGTTTCTTTGTCCTGTATGAAGAGGTATCAGGTAAACAAACTAGGACGCTACATGGCTGCTACGTGACTGTTTATTACACTACAGTATGCCGATTTATAGAGCGCAGCACTATTTACTCCCAACCAATCATACCAACATAACACAATTTGAATCTAAATTTCTTCCTGTTAACACCTCTCCTCGATATTATAGGATTCAAAGTAATTTCAATTGTATATAAGCACTTAACCTGAACACACCTATTGTTCAATTACAAAACACAAACGTTAAAGTTCTGAGAGAAAAATCAAAAGTCATAAACAATGTTCATCATCATCATCATCATCATCATCATCATCATCATCATCACTGGCATGACAGCCCTTTGTGAGCCCCGGCCTTCCTCAGGATTGCTCACCATTCTTCTCTATTTGATGCTACATTCCCCCAGTTCTTTACACCCAAAATTATGTCCTGCCACACACATTCTTCCCATCTTAACCTTGGTCTTCCCATTCTCCTGTTTCTTTCTGGTTTAGTATTAAGCATTTTCTTGATGGTTCTATTCTCACTGGCATGTATTATGTGTCCAGCCCATTCAAGCCTTTTCACCTTTATAAATCCAATAATGTCTGGTTCATTAAATAGTTTGTATAGCTCATGGTTATACCTCTTCCTCCATATTCCATTGTCTTCCACTGGTCCAAAGATATATCTCAGGATTCTCCTCTCAAATATACTTAACAGTCAATAGTAGAGTGAATTTACTGACTACACAAGACGTTTTTAATTATCACTACATGTTTTGACCTAAAGAGGTCATCCTCAGGTGTATGAACACGGCTGTATAATTACACGCGGTCACATTCTCTTTTCACTCATTCGACCCTGTATCTTATCCAGATTTACGCTCACTAATATATCGAGTTCTTTTTATAAAACACAGGTTAAAATTATTATTATAATTTAATTGTTAAAAGTTAAAAGTTCGTGAATCGAAGTTCAATTCATGTCACTGGTTACACTTTCACTTGTTGTTTACAGTCTCATTTTACTTATGCTCACAACTGTGTCTAGTTCTTTTTTAACTAGTTTAATTATTATTATTACTGGTTAAAAGTTCATGAATTAAAGTTCAACAGTTGTGAGCATAAGTAAAATGAGACTGTAAACAACAAGTGAAAGTGTAACCAGTGACATGAATTGAACTTCGATTCACGAACTTTTAACTTTTAACAATTAAATTATAATAATAATTTTAACCTGTGTTTTATAAAAGAACTCGATATATTAGTGAGCGTAAATCTGGATAAGATACAGGGTCGAATGAGTGAAAAGAGAATGTGACTGCGTGTAATTATACGGCCGTGTTCATACACCTGAGGATGACCTCTTGAGGTCGAAACATTTAGTGATAATAAGAAACGTGTTGTGTAGTTGGTAAATTCACTCTGCTCTTAATTAAACACACAACAGGATGCAAGAAACGATTAAAATTACACCTAACAGTCTTTCATACGATCTTGACAGTGGCCAGGTCTCAGAGGCTTAAGATAGCACTGATCTTATAAGTACTTTATACATCATAGTTTTGGTTTTCCTGGGTATTAATTGGGATTTCAGGTGTTTCCTAAGGCCATGGAGACATTTATTTTCCGCGAGTACACGTTTTTTTATTTCATCATTTATATCATTTTTACAGTTAACTTTTGATCCAAGGTAAGTGAAATTACATACAACCTCAAATTTATATGAGCCAATTTAAATATATGCAGGTCCATTAGCACAGTCTTTCTTGGTTACCAGCATGTATTTTGTTTTATTTTGGTTAATTTGTAGATTCATCTCTTTTGCTGCTCTTTCCAAATTAAGAAAAGCTTCTTTCATAGATTTTTGTGTTCTACCAATTATATCAATATCATCTGCAAATGCCAAAATTTGAACTGACTTGTAGAATATAATTCCCCTTGTGTTGATGCCTGCATCTCTAACTACCTTCTCTAATGCTATATTGAACAAAAGGCAGGCGAGGGAATCCCCTTGTTGAACTCCATTTCTAGTTATTATAGGGCTGGACAACATATTCTGAATCTTAATTTGGCATTGGGTCTTTCTCATAGCAGCTCTAACTAAGGTGATTAACTTCCGTGGAATGTGCATCTCTTCCATTGCCAGAAAAAGACTACCTCTCTCTGTGGAGTCATAGGCTGATCGGAAGTCAATGAAAAGATGTGTTTCAGTTTGGAATTCATTACACTTTTCAAGGACCTGGCGAATAGTGAAAATCTGATCGTTAGTTGATCTTCCTTGACGAAACCCACATTGGTAATCCCCAATTATGCCTTCCACAAAGGGAGAGAGTTTGTTAAATAGAATGCTGGAAAATATTTTATATGCTATGCACAACAGACTAATTTCTCTATAGTTAGAGCATACCATGACATCGCCTTTCTTATGGATAGGGCATACAGTACTTAGGTTCCATTCCTCTGGGATTATTTCAGTTATCCATATCTTAACTATCAGCTGATGTAAGTGCTTAGCATATTCTGGGCCTGCAAATTTCACTAATTCTTCCCTGATGAGATCCATTCCAGGAGCTCTATTGTGTTTCAGTTTTTTGATAGTTTGTTCTACTTCTTTTATGGTCTGTGCTGGCTCTTCAGCCTTAAAATTTCCTTGATTCCGGTTTATGGTCATACCTTCCACTTGTTCAGAGGCGTTACTATTTAATAATTCCTGAAAATATTGCGCCCATCTTTCCAGTATTGCTTCATCGCTACTCAATATTGTGCCTTCTTTATCTCTACATAAGGTTGTTCTAGGTTGAAAGTCCTTTTGACTCTTGTTTAATTTTCGATAAAACGCTCTAATTTTGTTTGAACTTCTAAAATGCTCCAGTTCAATCAGTTCTTGTTTATCATATTCCCTTTTCTTCTTTTTATGCAATCTTTTTTCTTCTCGCTTCATGGTATTCTTCCGCAGCCCCTTGAGTATGGTTCCTTTGCTGCATTCTCTTATATGCCTGTTTTTTTTTTATTTGTCACTTGCTCACACTCTCCATCAAACCAATTCTTATACTTTGTCCTTTCCATTCTTCCTAAGACTGCACCAGCAGCATTTATAATAACATCTCTGAGGCCCCTCCAAGCTTCACTGACATCCTCACTATCAGAGAGAGCTGCCAGGCATTCACAAATTAATCTAGTATATCTGGTTGCAACTCCTTGTTCCACCAATTTTTCACAATTCAGTTTCTTAGCCTGGGATACATGTATCTTCCTTGCATTAGATATTCAACTTCTAATCTTTGATATTATTAAGTAATGATCAGAGTCAATGTTGGCTCCCCTGTAGCTCCTGACATCCATCAAATCTGAACAATGCCTTACATCTATTAGGAGGTGATCAATTTGATTAAACACATTTCCATCAGGGGATTTCCAGGTTTGTTTATATATATCCTTATGATTAAACATTGTACTACCTATTACCATGTTTTTTGAGGATGCAAAATTTATTAATCTCATCCCATTATCATTTGACTTGTTATGTAGGCTGTGCTTTCCAATAACCGATCTATATACATCCTCATTCCCCACTTTGGCATTCATGTCTCCTATGATTATTTTACAATCCCTTCTTGGACATTTGCCATATATTTCATCCAATTCATCATAAAAGGAGTCTTTCTTCTCATCAATTTTATCTTCAGTTGGGGCATGTGCACAAATAAGGCTAAGGTTAAAAAACTTTCCCTTAATTTGTAGCCTGCATGTTCTGCGAGATTTTGCCTGGAAGTCTAAAATAAGATGCTTCCTTCTTTTTATTAACAATAAAACCTGTTCCAAACATGACTCTTCTTCTGACAACTATAGAATACAACATGATCCCTCTTTTCCATGAGGAAAACCACCTTAGTTCTTGTATAGCAGTGATATCTAGTTTATAGCTATCTAGTTGTTCAAGTAGCATTTTTAGTGCTCCGGCTCTGTAAAGAGATAGTACATTCTGAGATCCAATTCTCAAATCCTTTAAACATTTTCCAGGTCGTCTTGAATAGGTCTGTCCGGCTACTGTTTCCTTGGATTTCTGAACAATTTAGTTTTTACAGTGTGAGGTTGTTAGCCTGACGCCCAACCCCCAACCTGGAGGACCAGGGTATCCCTCTCTGTCTGGCTTCTACCCCTTGACCTGTCCAGCATGGGTGGCTCTACCAGTAGCTATTCTACCGCTGGCATAGCTCTCAGGGTCTCAGGAGCTCTCAAACCCCACCACTACGATAAGGTGGAGATACCATTGGTGGGGATAAACAATGTTCATGTATCTTAAATTAATGCAATCTTAAGGTCCAGTTAATGTAAACCTAATAATCTGGCAAATTCCTTTGTCTTGGGACCAGAAAGTGGTTTAGTAAAAACATCAGCAAGG